CATCACCTACCTTTCTGGTACAAAAATAAACTAGCTTAAATGACAGTATGGGAGCATACGCTGTATGCTTCCCAGGAGGCTTAAAAAAAATAGAGCACTGGACTCACTCATACTCCAAGTGCCACATGAGATATGCTCTAGGCCTACGTATACAATATAGAAAATGAATGAAAAGTGACCTTGCAGTATATACCCAGGATAAAAGTGCATTGCATTGGTTTTACTTTCAGGGCATAGCCCAGTGCTTGATAACCGGTTCCATTTAGTCCTAAACATTGACCTGCTAAACACAGCCTATTTTTTCCTCAGGCAGGCTGAATTGCTGTTGAAATCGGTCCAACCACCTTGCTACAATATCCTTTATCACTCCCTGTGGTCAGTCATTTAGGCTATGTGGCGTTCAGCTTTAGGGTAAATCTCCTCATCAGATCTCAATGTATTCTGATCTCATGTGAAATCTCTGAAAGGTGTGAAGTAAATTAATTTCATACCCCAGTAAGTCTGGAAGCTGCATTGACATTGACAAGTAGAGGGGTGGATGTACTTTCATTTTAATCCAGCGCAGTGTTCATCACACCCAAACATGATCAGATTTCAAACATGCATGCCTTTTCAAATTCAAGAGCTGAACAACAGTGTGGGATATGTTTTACACTTTGTTTTGCACTGATTACCTGATCATCTGAGGATGACCTCAGCCCTTAAAGTCTTTTGGACAAGGCAATTACTTTCACAAATGCCATATTTTTCATAAAGATGAAAGCCACACTTTTAATCAGGCAGTGCTGATGATGGGTTATAGTTTGGGTGATTGAACTACATCTTCAGTTGTAGTGATGAGCAGTGAGGACTTTGATTATAGCAAAAAGTGGTCACAACATAATTTTGTTCTTTCCCCTTGGCTACCATGTCCTGTATGAATGACATCTACATATTTCAAGCTAATGGAAACTGGAATTAGATTTTTGCTGTGGATTTCCAAGCCCTCGTGTCCCAGGTTTCTTGGGATTTGATTAGTTGCCACCTGTCTGTGATACTTTTCTGGTTTTATCTGGATTACAGAAGGAGAAACATTCGAAACAAACCTATTTATTTACCCCTGATGGATCCAGAAAAAAAACCCTCTGCAGTAGGCTTGCAGTCAGATGTATTCCACACACTGGATTTATTCATGTGATTGCTCTCAAACCTATCAAACACTAAAGCTGCGAATGTCTGTACAACTGAAACACAATCTTACCCTGGTAGATTTTGTGAAGATAGTCTTGGCCCTGTCACTGTGGCTTTTTGATGAAAGATAGCAGCTGATTAGCTGCCAAGACATTTGAAATGACTCCAGCTCTAAAGCCGGGATACAATTCTGACAGAGCTCTATGTCTGAACCAGCCAGACATCTGGATTAATGTGTGAAAGGATTTGACTGGTTTTCCTCCCTCAGTGCAAGTGCTGCAATCAGAGATGGACAGACTGAACCAACATAGCAATTTTTATCCTTTTGTTACGGCAGGTAACTCAGTGAAAGTTTTATGTGTCCCATGAGTATGTTTACCTAGTGAATTAAAATGAAAATAACTAGGGTTTCATAACAGTGTAATACAGAGACTCCATAGACCAATTTCTTTGAGTAAATGTTAGATCTATAATCTTGATGCAAAAGTAAGAACTGTTATCTAAGTAAGAATTTTTAACTGGTTTCCGTAAATGCACATGGGAAAAAAGAAAGTAATTCATGTGGTTAGAAGGGAGGGGTGTGCAAGTCTCTATTCATCTTTCAGTACAGTAATTAGACCTAATGAGGGATTGCATTTATCTGCTTTGCCAGGAAACTGTATATGGTGGCTGCGTGCTGTTGGCTCTTATTCAGGCAATGACTGTGTTTGTTGGTACTTGTTAAAGAAAATGTCCCATCTTTCCTTCAGCTTTTCAACAGTCTATACAAACAGCATCATTATTTAAAACTCAGTGCTATCTTGTCTTGTCCTTCGTCAAAGAGACAGGCTTGGACATTGGTCAGAAATGTTTCAGCAGGACCATGTTTTAGTTAGATGTACAACCTAATATATGTAAATTGTGCTGTTCCTTTTTGTATGGCTTGTTCACTGTCTGTCAGAATTGGCTGTTCAGTACGACAAATGCATTGTAAGGTGGGACTTGAAGTTGTTGAAGCTTATCACCTCACCTGAAGGCAAATAGAACAATGAACAGATCAATAGGTGAGGCAAATATATATATGCTGAATATAATGCAAAATGAATTTTCATTTTAAAACCTCCTGCCTCTTATGTAAGCTGTATTCTGTTGGAGCCTTAACCTCTGCCTCAGTGTGAACTACCATGTGTGATGGTGGCCTTGGTTTACCTGGGAGACGACTGACAGCTGTTGGAATGAGAATGAGGAGTGACACAGACAATTAAAGGGCTGGATTCAGCCGGCCTGACCTTCTGATCAATCCACTCCTATTTAGAAGGCAGGCTAGAGAACAGCACTGTTTTTCTAGACTAATAAAGACGGCACAGAGAGCAGCTCCTGGGCTAGGCTGCCAATACTTTTAACACCCCCATCGATTCTCATTACTGTTAATGGTTTCTTTGCTAGGGTGAGCCGGATGTTGAGGAGTTGAGTAGGGTGTGGGTGGGCATGGATGTAGTCAGAGGTTTGGCTAGGGGCAGAGTCATCATATTATGACCCTGTCAGTGGAGTGGCTCTGATTGTGTCTGTTTATTGACAAAGCCCTGCAATATATAGTGTGTAAAATCACCAAGTGAATTTTGCAATAATCTTCATTAGTCTCGCTTTAGACCAGTAGTTCTCAACCTGGGGGTCACAAGTTAATTTCCGGGGGCTGTCAAATGGTTGTGGAGAGTAAATTAAAATTTTGGCAAACAGTGTGGATTGACAGACAGGAAGCAGCTCCCAGCACAGGACAAGAACTCAAAAACACTATACTATAGGCTTTATAACCTGTTTTTATACATGTTAACAGGTTCAGTTACCTCAGTAAAATGAGAATATATTTTCGATTTAGACCTAAAGCAGACATTTTAACTGTTGACTGTGAATATATGTTCTGTCTGCTGGCAGTAGTCCTCCTGTGTGAGTTTGGTAGCATTCATGTGTGATATTATAGTAATCCCTGAAGAGTTTGTGGCAGACAGTGGTGGGAGGGTGGGGGTGAACACCAACCTGATCATTCTGGGGGGATGTGACTCTGAAAAGTTGAGAACCACTGCTCCAGACCTCTGATTTGCTGCCCACATCTGCGATACGTTCAGCAATTCAGATAGTTCAGGTGTGCTCATTGCTGACTGTTGTTTCAACCAATCACATCTTAGTAGGTGGGATTAACCAGGTAGTTAGCTTGACAAGTTATTTTCAGTCCATGTTTCTAATAATAATATTTTTTAAACATTTTCATACATTTTAACCTACTTGAGAAATTTTTAATTAGCTGTTAGCAACTGCACTACAGTCACTACTGATTGGTTAGGGCAAAAACATTGGCTAAATGAGGCTAAAAGAACAAAGTGAAACAAAAGGGCAATTCAGTCTGATTGTCAGGCTACATCTTTTATCAGCTGAGATACAGAAAAGAGCACCACAGTGTAGTTTCTCTCAGCAAAACAAGTGCACCTATTCATCCCCTCATTCTATTTGCATATGGCCTGGGGGTCCCTTCATTAACACATCATGTTGTCTTAACAGCCTGTAAGAATTTGATCCACATCTGAAGAAGCAGTTTATATGTGTATGAGATTGTTATTGTGTGATTACACAAAACACATCAACTCACGCCTTCGCTCTTTGGAGATGTATCCCCTGTAATGGGGCACCAAGGAGGAAGATGAACAATACATTGCACTGTTTTTAATCCCCTGAAATGATTCACTTCCTGTTGGGTGTATAGCAGTTTGTTCTCCCACTCTTGTGCTGCAATAAATAACTCTATTTTAGTAGCCTATATAGCCATGTTGTATTCATTATTTGGCTCTAATTAGTGAGCATCCTGGATTGTAATTTTTCTTCGGGGTATGTGATTCGTATTTTGCTTATCTTAGGACAATCCTCTATACAGTACTCTGCTGTGGTAGGCTTCCTTTGAGTTTTTCTACCTCACTCAAATGTTCTGGGATTACAGCAACATTGTTGGGTTCATCATTTCGGCATTCAGTGCTGCATTAGAGGCCTTCACACCGACAATAGCACCATTGAAAAACAATGCAAAGGGCTGTAAAAGTGTGGGCATTTTGCCACAGGGTCCAGGTAAAGAAGATGAAATACAAATGAATTAGGCCAGGATGAAGGCTTAAAATGCCAAGACAGCGGTTTATATCCTTGTACTCCTCTGAGGTTTGGTTGTACAGCTTTGGAAAGTTAATCACGCCAGTAATAACTTTCTCCTCTATCTCAATGCTTTACAGGTAGGCAGCAAATTAGTACAATGCTACAAGGTCCATGCTACAAGGTGTTATACCTCGTGTGTGCTTTCATGTATTTGATTGGCCAACACAGCATGTTTTGCTTAAAGGGTAAGTTTGGATTTATTGAAGTGGAGTTGTATGAGGTACTTATCCACAGTCAGTGTATCATGCTGGTACTGGTTGCTTCTCCAAACTGGGGGCGTGCTGACCATCATGTACTGTAGATAATACACTGACAATGAATAAGTACCTCATACAAACCCATTTCAGAAAATCTGCACAACCCCTTCGATGACCTAACAAAAATAAAGGACAGAACCAGATTTTTTGATGATCCATCTGCGACAGGATCCGCTGCTGAGGCAAACCAATGGTCTCATTGAAATGATTGGAGAAGCTTTTTTTGTAGCAGTGCTATTGTCAGTGTGAAAGCTGCCTTAGGCTGCGCTTTAGCATCCACAACAGAAATGTGCTATATCAAATTGGACTTAATGGTGAGTGCTGGAGTACCATAGCTCTAAAGCTTTTTTTTTTTTTTTTTTTAGCAGTGTGGGTTTCATTTTCTACGTTTGTGTTTCGCAGGCTCAAAGATGAAGCCAAGCCACTGCAGCGTCGCGTTTTCCAGAGTGAGGTGGCATGGTGCTTGAGAGAATCAGTTCTATGACTGCAACAACACAGGTACAAGCTCCATGGCATGCAAGATCCATCCGGTTCAATGAGATAGTGATCCACCGCTGCCTTATGTAGTGCCTTTTTCCTTCAGCCTGGGACCTTTCAACAGCATGTCTCTAATGAGATGGTGAATTTAACAATTTATTAATTAACAACACATTTTCAGTATTTCTCTCTCACCTTGCTTTTCTCTACGGTTGCTCTTCCTCGACAAAGGCCAATAATTATTTCCAAATTTAACACCTCTCTGATTAGCCTTATAACTTTAGCAGGAAACCATTTGTGGAGAAAAAAAAATTCCCAAATCCTGCATGGGTTGAATGATCACTTCAAATTGTCTTGTCCTTTTAAATTTCCTTGAGTATCATTCTGCTGTGTAAGCTTTTGTCGCCTGCTTTTTGGTTATTCTTCAAAGGTGGCACTTGTATCTGTAAATTGTCGTTGGCCAAGAGTGCCTACACAAACAGCTGTCACGCAGTTATAGTTTGATGTCTTTATGATTTGTAAAAGATTTGAAACGGTTCATTGTAAGTCGAAATGTCCTTCGCTAGAGAGTAGTACAAAGGGGTAAAACAGTGCTTAAAGTATTTTGCTTGCACAATAGCTACTGTTCTTTGTTGTCCCAGAGGCTCAGGTACTGCTTCTCTCTCAGGCCAATAATACTGGATTCTGCCTTCAGATTCAGCAGCAGATAACAGCGGCGGTATCTCCTCTAATTGCCTGTTGCCTAAGAACTACTAACTACTGGAGATGTGGTCTGCATGTCAAATACTTTTCCCTATGTAGATTTTGTGCCTGCAGTTGGGCACATGCACAAATTAGAGCCCTACTCATTTAAATATGCTGCAGTTTATTTTTCTCTTTATGGCACAATTATTTAATCTCTATTTTAATTTAGGAACTGAAGGAATATCACCATAACATCTCTTAAAATGATAACCTAATTAAAAAAAATACATGGTCTTTATGGCAGAACAGCAACCTACACTGAGCAGACGGATTTGGCATTTAAATTACCATTTCAATTAAGTTGGAACTGAACATACAATATTGCTTTCTCGTGTAGTCCTATTCGCAATTTTAAAATACAGCAGTTTTATCCCAACCATACTCACATGGTGTGCATTCCAGTTGTGGCACATGCAGTGGAGTCCATATGGATTATATTTGCATATGCACTCTATGGACTACACTATAAGAGCTGCAGTTAAAATCTGGATCATATGACATTTGGATGGGGTGACAGTTTTGAAAATGTAGCTGGACCTTCTGCTTATTTTTCTGCATTCCACTTGTACAGTAACTTATGAAGCAGTCACACCCAGCATATGTTTTTAATAGAAACATGTCTTTCTTTTATTTGCCTTTAATTTTCTTCAAATACATAATTTCTCTGTAAAGTTCAAAACATTTTTGTGTCTGTATCTGACCGTGATCTATCAAACCAACCGGAGTTTTGAAAGGAAAACATTTTGGCAGCAGTACACAGTTAATGACCGCGCGTCGGATGCCAATTCTCAACCTCATGTTCTCGTCCAAAACACACAATCATGCTCATTTGCAGAGGAGCTAGAGTCAACAATGCTTGTTGCTACCTGTTTCAAGCAGGACTCATTAGTATGAGTTGTTTCTCTCGTTCGTAATTGTGCCGAGTGGGAACTTGACAGTATTAAGCACCAAAATGAGGAGTGACAATTAGCTGTAGTGTGAATGGTGTCTTGGCTCATAGTATGTCGTAATTACAGTCAGCTCAATAAGTATTTGGACAGGGACACCATTTTGTTATTTTGGCTCTGTACACCGCCACAATGGATTTCAAATGAAACAATTAGTATGTGCTTTAAGTGCCGATTTTCAGCTTTAATTTTGGGGTATTTACATCCAAATGGGATGAACGTGTAGGAATTTTAGACATTTATATCTGTCATCCCTTTCTAGGGACAAAATGTAATTTGACATATGTGCAGTTGTTCCTAGGACAGGTGTATGCTATTCTATTGTTAGTTAATGCACAGATTAGCTGATAAAAGGTCTAAGTGTGGAACTTTCATTTTGAATCTGTTTTTGCTATCAGTCAAGATGTGGACCAAATAACCAAAGTCAGTTAAGAAGGCAATCATGTGCTGAAAAATCAGACACCAACAATCAAAAGAAATAGCAGAAACACAGAACACACTGAGGATCTGAGCAATACCAAAAATGACCTGGTAGACTACTGCAGTGGATGACAGAAGAATCCTTTCCCTCCTGAAGAAAAACCCCTTTTCAACTGTCAGCCACATCAAGAAGACTCTCCAAGAGGTAGGCATATCTGTGTCAAAAAACAGGATAAAGAAAAGACTTCACCTTAATAACTGTAGAGGTCTTACCACAAGATGCAAACCTCTTATAAAACTGAAGAACCAAAAAGCCAGGTTACAGTTTGCCAAGAAGTGGAAGCGAGGGTTATGGCAGGATGTACTCTGAGGTGTACAGAGCAACCCAGTGCCTTAAATCTAATTGGACGTCAGGACACTAACTCAAAACACACTGCCAAAGCCAACCAAAGACTCTCTCGAATGGCCACTTGAGCTACAGAAGTGAGTCAATCTCAAGGCCGATATTAAAAGGCTCAACTTTACAGCTTTAAACATGTCTGCAGCCCGGTACAAGAAACTGCTTAAGTCTCTATAGCTGAATTCCACATTCATGACAACTGTACAAGAGGTGAATTTGTATACAATTCACATGTTAGAACTTAAAGTTATGCATAATTAAGAGCATGGCTGCTTTGAGTGACAGGTGGGTAACAGCCAGGCTTCATTCAGTGTGCCTCAGCTCCACCAAAGCTACACGTCTTTGCCTGTTTTGCTTCCAAATGGCACATTTTTAATTATACAGTCCACGTGAGTTCCAAACTTCAGGCAGTCAATGACTGCAAAAGATTTGTAGTATTAAGTATTAAATTTGATGACTTTACTAAATATTATGTCAATTTGTCCAATTACCAATTGCGCTTGTTTTTGTTTTGCCGTTTCTCTACTGTGCCCCCGCCCAGGCTGAAAAATTGATCAAACAGCAGAATAAGCTCAGGTTTCTCAGTCAGTCATGTCTTCAGAATTGAGAGGGACAAACGATATTTTTAAAGTTTCTGTAGCTTTTCAGCCAAGCTAATTATTTCCAGTATTGCTCACTCTGCCTTAACCACAAATTCAAAATGATTTATGTTTCCATATGTAAAGAAATTGGGATCTTGAACTCCAATAGTAGCTGGTTGCTGATTAAGCCCTCATTCTAATTTTACACATTCTAGATTTCCATGTGATACTCAGTAGACAGTATAATGTCCTAGTTTAATACCCTACGTGATGGAAGCAAATGGGTCAAAGCTCCCGTTTTTAACCGGGCATAGAAGAATGTCCGTCACTGCAGTTTGTGGGAAAAACTTTCAAAGTGAAATGTTGGATTAGAGCAGGAACTTTCATCCTGCTAGCTGACAGTTTTGCGTCACAGCATGAATCCTTTTGTCACTGCAAGATTTCTGGTCATCCTGTCTCTAGAAACACCCACTAGAGCCAGCTGTAAGATGCGATAAGAGCCTTTTCTGTTCTTTTTCATCTGAATCATATTCAAAAGACTGATGCTGTTGTCTTAGAATTTTTGCTGAGAGCAGCGTGCTCCACTCAGCACAGCAACTTGACCGCACACACACGAATGCGGTAGCAGAGATGCTTGACAGAGGAATGTTCGTCAACCTCTTAGCGGTTATTACTGAGAACAGCTATTTGACATTTGAGAGCAACCCAGATACTACTGTCTGTCTGCAACGGAGAGGATATTACCTGTTATTCAGTTACTAGTGGAGACATTTTACAGACCAGGACAAATCGCTGTCAATTTCCAATTTAACATACTGATGGAGCGATTTTCTGTTGAGTGCTAGGTGCGTTTTTTTTTCAAAAGCTGTTTTCCATCTCCTGTCTGTTTTGCAAGGTCTACACTTTAATACTCTTCAGTAAGAGGGTGAAAGCATGCGTTAAGGTGTGTAGGGGTGTAATAGTTGATGTCCACTGCTGTGTGCTCCGAATGCTGATTATTATTATTTTTTTACAAAGTAACACCTACTTTCTATCCAAAGGGAACAACAGCTCCCTTTTGTCTTGAATTTGCAGCCTCATTGACTACTTTATAGACTCTCATGAGGTGCAAAATACAGTGAATTTCAGTAACATGGCTACATGTATGGATAATCAAAAATGTGTCTTGATAATCCTAAATTGTATTTTATATTGATTGTCTTTACTTAGATTAGTTAATCATGCATTGTGTCTTCATGCATTGAAATGTTGGACTTTGACTCAGAGTACATATTACTTTAAAGGGTTTAAGGCTGAGCTTTTCCTGCTTCTCAAATGTCAGAATTTGCTGCTTCTGCTTCCCTGTTTTATATCATTGTCAATTGAATATTTAAAACATCATTTTTTAAAAAAAATTTTGACATTTTATTGACTAAACAATTAATCAATTAAACTACAAAATACATGAATTAATCAACAAGGAAAATAATACTTTGTTATTAATATGTTGCCAGTGTCACAGGCTTTCAACTGACTGGAAAAGCCATCCAACATAAACAAGAATAGATATAATATCCTGCCCAGCCCCATTCAAGGAGTCAGATACAATACGGCTGTATGTAAACTGCACGCTCCGACAGCCAAACAAATACTCAAGAACTCGAAGAAGATAATAGTTTCTCAAGGCTGATCGAATGGAATGTTTCAGAGGCGTCTGAGAAAAGTGTGAACTGCCACTGATTTCCTTTAGAGCACAGATGTGCAGACAGAAGAAGAGTTTTTTAGGATTGTAGTTCATATTGTTAACCTCTTATCTAAACCAACATGTCATTCACCACAGCAGACTAATATTAGCGCTCACCTTTGCTCCATGTGCCAGCCTGTCTTGCTCTGTCTTTTCCACCGTGTCTCTCTCTCTCTCTCTCTCTCTCTCTCTCTCACACACAAACA